TAGTGCAGTCTGCAGGAAATTTTGTTCTTTTTCTTCAGAAAGGGTTCATGAATTTTGTCAGGTAAGGTTGAAGGTCTGATTGACCTGTCAGTTCTGATGCACTCCATGGCCACCCCTACCCCCACTGCAAAACATAATTAAATGATGTTCTGATCCTCTGCTACAAAAGTTGCGGTAAAAACCCAGAAATCCAAAAGAACATGGTTATCAGTACAGTAGTTTAAATTGGGATGTTAGAAAGGTGCAGATGTTATCCGCACAGATGGATGGGTGGATGGATGATTAATGGTTTTATAATAAATTTTCCTCTCTGTCTCCTCAGACTGAATGACTGTAACCTCTCAGAGAAAAGCTGTGCAGCTCTGTCCTCAGTTCTTAGCTCCCAGTTCTCCAGTCTCAGAGAACTGGACCTGAGCAACAACAACCTGCAGGATTATGGAGTGAAGCTTCTATCTGCTGGACTGGAGAGTCTGAACTGCAAACTTGAAAGTCTCAGGTAAATGTATTCCACCCTTTTAGAACTAGATTTCTGTCCATTAGCTGCCATCAAAGATGATAGAAATTTCATTTTTAGAATGGATTAGTCAGCTGTTCCTATCTGACCTTTATTCTCTCTGAATCCAAAACAATGTTTTAGTCTTTATTTGAGCAATGAGATGGAAGCTCCCTAAACACCAGAACCATTGATATACTGGGACCAGCAGTTTAACTTAGGTACTTTTATTCCATTTCACAGAAAGCTTAAAGCCAACATCTTCTGCATAGTTGCTCTCAGTTTGCAGTCTCCATGCCAGTGGAGCTCTCCTCGGGTATCATGTGTTTAAATCGGGCATTTTTTCATTTTTATTACCTACATAACAAAATCCACTTTGATTAAGATAGACTTTTATCAACCAGTTTAGCTTCAGTTTCTTGGGCTTTTTCTACTAAAAAAGTTCCATTAAGAACTTTGTTTCTACCTCAATGTTATCCTGCTCTCCTAGTGTTGAACTGTGTGTCTGCAGCTTGTCAGGTTGTATGATCTCAGATGAAGGCTGTGCCTCTCTGGCCTCTGCTCTGAGCTCCAACCCCTCTCATCTGAAAGCGTTGGACCTAAGCTACAATCATCCAGGAGACAGGGGAGTGAAGCTGCTGTCAGCTGGAATCGAGGATCCACACTGGAGACTGGAAATCTTCAGGTATGGAGGAACCTGCTGCAGGTGCAGAGAATTTCTGAAAGACGATAATGAGGAGAAATGTCTTCTCTGATCTTCAGTCCATCTGACAGGAAACAGTGTTGGAGAAGACATGCATCTAATAATAGTTGAATATCAGCTTTGGATGACTGTTTTATAGCCTAATAGAGTTTTAAACGGATTGGGTCTTAATTAGCAGACCCAGGATGGATACGTTGGTGCTAGGTGGGAACTGAAGTGAAGATAAACATTCGGAGCGTTTGGATTGGAGTGAGTTGGACTGGCCATTTGATAATTATTTGTAAAGATTATGCTGCCTGATGATCCAATCCCGACACAAATATGATCCACAAATGCAATCAATGGATGTTTGGAACAAGCTGAGTGGTATGAATGAAGGCGCGAGCATTAAAAATGGCCCACAATGGAGAGGTTCTGATTAAGCCCACACCTATAGAGATCAGGAGATTAGTCCAGGAAGTAGAAATATTAGAGAGGATTGTTTTTTTTTTTTTTTTGACAAGGAACAGAGAGAGAATATTAGAAGGAGAATAAATGATTGGAGAACTCTAGGAACTCGGCCCGGTTTAATGTTGTCTGTAGATTTTGAGAAAAAATTAGCTGAATGAGACCATGGACCTGACTGAAGAACCAAAGCAGAGAGAAAACCATGGCTGAGGGACTAAAAGATAGAAACCTATTGGTAGTTTTTAGACTGAGGAGAACTGAAATAGTCAAAGATCTAGAACCGGAATTATTAAAGATGGAGCTAATCAGACAAAGTGCAGAATCCGGGGATTAGAGGTTGGTGTCATCATGGATGAAAATAGAACTAATTGAAGAAGTGGACCTTTGGAAGGAGCTCCAAGACTAGAGACAGTTTGAGAAGGAGAGATAGTGAGGGTGAGGTGATGGATTTAGAGGAAGATGTTCTCTATGTGCTGGTGGAGATTCTTAGTCATCCAGGTCATAGTCATTCCACAAAAGTAAGCAAAAACAAAGCACTGGACTTTGTTTTCCAAGTTTGAAGATGTTTCCCTTCCCATCAAGCTAGCTTTCTCAATTCAAAATGTCTGGATTAGCGTACCTCAAGGTACACTCCCCTGCATGGTAATTGCAGTTTAGCATAGTCTGCTAATCTGTTATCAGTCGAAAACTGTGGGAAAGTTGGGACACATCCAAGAAATACACTGCTCTCGGCTCTCCCAACTATAGCCTGAGACAGGATATTCCAGACCAAGTAGATTTTCTCAGAAGTGGAAATCTTGGTGGGGACAGAAGGGATGCTTACCCCATACCATAATGAGATTAATCAATTTTCATTGCTAAAATCTTGTCAGTTAAAAGAACAGAGGAAAGCAAAATTACAGACATTTGGTAATTTTAGTTCTCCGACACAGTTGAAAAACCACAGTTATGAAGGCATTTAGATAAAGAAGTCCATGGGTAAGGAATAAAAAATGCTTCTGAATCTGTTTCCTATGGCTTTATAAGGCTGCGCCAGTCAGCTGAGCACAGTGAGACAGGGCCAATCAGCAGGAGGCCATGAGTCTCAGCTCATCTTCTGTTTGTAAATGTTATGAAATCATAAAAGAACTCTGTTATTTAGATTTTTAGTTTTTTAGAGTTGTTAAATGGTACACAGAAAAATCTGTATAAGGGTAAAATGTGGGCTAATAAAGAACAATGATATAACTACATTACTTCCAAGAACACAATTTTGGCAAGCTATTTGTCAGAATTACACTACTTAAATCTGTGGTTGTTGTTGCTTTTGATGTCCAAACTGGAGAGTTGATGTGAAAAATCTGCTGCAGTTGAAGTTGAAAAGTTGAGGAGATGATGGATATGGTCAGTGTGAGATGATCTGGGGGGTGATCCCAGTGTGGAGGAGAGAGGATGTGAGAAGATGGAAAAAGAAATCCAGGAACTTGGAGGACAGAGGAAGATCCTCTCCACTAAGGTTGTAAAGGCTGTAAATAAGAGAGATGGGGATGAAGCAGCAGATCAGATTTCTAAAGGATGGGGGCAGATGAATGGTGGATCAAAGATGGCTGTTTAGGAAAAACTGGTCACCATAAATGCTCCAATGGAGGTTTTATCTAAAATTGAAAAACTTCCAATCAGTGGAAAAACAGCAGAGCATCATCTGAGTTCAATGATTAATTATTTGGAGGAAGTCATAAATAATCTCAGACTACAACCAAACAAGGAGCATTCATGGGCCATGCCAACACTAATGGTTCTACAGAGGCCATCCAAGAAGTTTAACTGCTGATATAGAGGAAGTAGAAACATCAATGACATCATCAACCTGATGTTATTAGTATTGACAACAATTGTTTTTTTTTTTTGTATAAGTGAAAAATATTTGAGTAGGAGGAGGATGTTCAACAACTAGAATAGATCATCTAACATTTATAGGAATCAGTAGAGGAACAGTTCTAGAACATGTAGAACATAGAGAAAAAATGAGCTGAAATGAAATTTAGGTAACATTTAGACCCCTTGGAAAAAGTTAGATCTGAATATGTTCCTTCAGATTAAAGGTTGGTAACATATGCTGTGACTTTAATGCTTCTGGAATAGGCTATTCTGGAATGGAAGCAGAACAGATGGAAATAGAGAAATAATTGAAGAACATTTAGAGGGTCATAACCGATCAAGTCTGAATGATGTAAGAAGAATAGATATTGAACCAGGAAAAGATTCTGGGCTGGAATGATTCTTCGAATGATTTCAGGACCTCCATTAATAAAATTCATCAAAGAAAATGATCTTCCTAAAAGCTTTATTTAATATTACAACTTCTGTGTTCTGGTTGGGTGGCTACAGCTAAAGTTAGGCTAGCCTGCTGATCCATGGATCAGCAGGTTATTGTGGTTATCTGTAATAGAGTCTGGGTCATTTTAAAAATCTAACTCGGAAGCTGTGCAGTGAAATGCTGCGCAGCAGCTAAGATCTCAGAGCTGATCAATTCTGATTGCTCCACCCCCACCTTGGCTATAGGCAAGACTTCCATTTAATTGATCAGCGTAGGGGATTGTAACATTATTTGAAAACATAGTCCTGCAGCTGAGAGGATAGTTGTTTTAATACCCTAATTATATGATACTAATAAATAGTAATAAATCAGCGGTTTACCTTTCTGATTAATATATTTTTTGTGGCGGTTTTTGGAACCAAAAGTGTGTAACTAGACCACTGAAGAGGTCTGTTTTATTTAAATAGATCTATGCTTTGTAAAGTTAAAAATGAAACCAGAACACAAAATGTAGTCAAACCTTATGCATTTTTGTTTTTATGGCCATTTTCTCTACAGAGTTAGCTTTTTATCTTCTTATCTACAGAAACGAATTATTTGCATTTTTCCATGTATTCCTATTATTCATAACGCATCTGAAGCAATAAGTGAACAATATGCAGAACATGGTTTATGTTTGAATATTTCATGGTTAGTGGTGATAATGATGGAAAGAATAACTGATCAATGAAATAAGGGTTGGTTCAAACTCTAAAAAGGATAATTCCTTAATTCAACATTGGTTCACAGGAATATTTCAGCTGGTGGGGAAATGGGATTTATTAGACTCCTTATTAGGAAATTCCTCTGCCTCTGCAGTTTTCTGGAAGATTCCCCTTAGTAAGAATGTCTCACAAGGAAAATTTTTGAAATCTGTGGATGTTTCCAAGTGGACGTGTTTGGCTGTTCCACTCTCAGTGTAGGATAATATGTGTTTCAGAGACATGTCCATGTCTGCATGCTGACAGAGACTGATGGTCTGACTCCTCTCCTTCTTTCAGGGTGGAACTTGCTGGAGTCCGATGGTTGACACCAGGTCTGAGGAAGTGTAAGTGTGTTTTAGATTGAGCTCACATTCAATCGTCTTCCAACTGTCCAATTTAATTCAATTCAATTATACTTTATTCTTCCATGAAGTGAAATTCAATCTTGGTATAGCCCGTCCAAGAAGACAAAAACACACAGAAAGACAATACACAGAGATTATACATGGGGAGACACGTTATCTGTGGCCATGCTAGTATAAAATGAGGTGCCTTTACAGTAAAACAGAAAAGAAAGAGATAACAATAGGTGAGGGAGGAAAAAAGTAATATTTCATATTTTATCCTTAGCAGGATACAGTTTGAGATTGCGAAAAACCTCAGCACATATGCAACACAGATGCAAAACAAAATCTTGCAGAATTAAGAATGGCAGAGGAGGATGAGAGGTGCGTGAATCATATCTGAGCATCAGTGTATGCCCATGTGTGTACAATATATATCCATTGGTGAATATCATTGACAGATGTAACAGTTCGTCAGCCGACCAAAAAGCCATCTTCACAGATGTCCCCATGAAGTGTAAATGATCAATAACTCCAGCTGGATTGTGTTTGTTCTCTCCATCAGATTCCTGTTGGCTCACAATCGACATAAACACAGTGAACAGAAAACTAAAACTATCTGAAGACAACCGGAAGGTGACACAAGTGCAGGATTATCAGTTATATCCTGATCATCCAGACAGATTTGATGAGGTTTCTCAGCTGCTGTGTAGTGATGGTCTCACTGGTCGCTGTTACTGGGAGGTCGAATGGAGAGGAGGAGTTTATATATCAGTGAGTTACAGAAGAATCAAGAGGAAAGGAGGCAATGATGACCGTTGGTTTGGAGGGAATGATCATTCCTGGAGTCTGAGCTGCTCTGTTGTTGATGGTTATTCGGTATGCCATAATAAGAGAGCAACACCTCTCTCCTCCTCCTCTGTCTCTAACAGAATAGCAGTGTATGTGGACTGTCCTGCTGGCATTCTGTCCTTCTACAGAGTCTCCTCTAACTCACTGATCCATCTCCACACCATCAGCACCACATTCACTGAACCTCTGTATCCTGGGTTTGGGTTCTGGGGTTTTAATGGTTCCTGTGTGTCTTTCTGCTGAGTTAAGTCCAAATATTTCCAATTTGTGACTGTTGAGCAGTTCAGTCGATCAGTTCAGACCATTTCTGAGCTGCTTGAATAAGTCAATGATCCTATAGATCAGAAATTGTCTATAGGATCATTCAGAAAACTGCTAATCACTTGGTGACACAAGGTAAACATCAACCTTCTAGAAATATTGAAACAAGTGTCTGGATATTATTGGATGCTTTCATCTGCTGGTAGATTGGTGTTTCCATGTCTGTCTGTGTTTCTGTAATGGCCTGGATAAATCTTATCTAAAATAATAATCATTGAAACGTTTTTTTTTTTAGTTTTTTAGAAGACGTTTTGCCTCTAATCCAAGAGGCTTCTTCATTTCTGACCTGTGTTGGAGAGCACTGATATTAATATACTGTAGGTCTAACAAAGAATTAGGAGGAACAAAAGATATCTTTGATCACTCCCACAGGATTGGCCAAGGAGGTTACATGGGGGGTGTTAATGGTCATTATGGGTCATTAACTCTCCCGTCAGAGTGGTTTTGGTCACATACAGTACCTCATTGAAGTATGAGTAAGGGTAGAGCCGCTGGGAGGTTAATTTCATGGGTGTGGTTCCCTGAAGAAGCCTCTTGAGCAAGAGGCGAAACGTCTTCTAGAAAACTCACATGCAGTTGCCTAGATTGAACTTTTTCAAGAATGGCTTTTAATGTGAAGATTTTTTTAAATCATTATTTCAACTCCAAATGTATTAAAATTATATTGTCATTAATCTGACACCACACAGCAGGGGCTGATTATCACCTGTTGTTTGTAACCAGAGACGTAGAAAAAGAAATGTGCAGACGGTGTCTAGACTAATGCTGAGCAGATCACTCACAGTCCACTTAATACCATGATACTGACAGTATGCTGAAGTTTTCGGAACATTTTGTCACATTTAAGTGTTTATTTGAACCACAATAACAACAGCTTTTAATTTGAAGATTGTTTCAATTATTATCTCAACTCTGAATGTACGAAAATTATATTTTCATTGATCTCTTGCCACACACACATATATGTACCGCAAGGGGCTTTAATCACCTGTTGTTTCCAACCAGAGCTGAATAAGACAAAGTGTACAGAAAGTGGCTTGGCTAATCCTTAGCAGATCTTTTGCGATATAGTTCATAATGTTATACTGACAGTATGCTGCCGTTTTCGGAACATTTAGTCACATTGTTAAAGCAAACACAATGAAAGCTTTGGTGGTATGACTTAACTGTTTTTTTGTCAACACATAGACTCATTCATAACTACGTACATAAACATATCTTTTTCATGACTGCAAAAATATATTGTCAATGAAACCAATTTAGGATATTCAGTGTCCATGTAGGATCTTTGACAAATCTTGCATAAGCAGTTTATCAACTGCCAACTCCCAAGTGGTATAAGCCAGTTCCCAACTGGCATATGCTGGTTCCCAACTAGCATTGATACAAAGAATACAATTTTTCAAACTTGCATGTCAGATACCACTTTTGGCTGTCATTGTCACTCTGGTTTTAAGTGAGGATGTACAAGTTTAAACAACGCACATTGTTTTCACTGCATGCTCAGTTTGGTTGCACAAAAATTGCTCCATAGATGTTAAGCAAAAGAACACGAAATGGAAAGTTCGTCTGAAAACTGTTGGGACTTCCAATTGTATCACATCTAACCTCTACTACCTACAGCACAACCACACTGTTGAGTTCCAAGAATTGCAAAAGGCTCCATTACCTTTGTACAAAAATGTTTGCAAGATGAGTTACATTTTTCTAATTTTCAATAAGACATTGTGGAATGTTTAAACCAGAATGGGTACAAGACAAGTAACATTTAATGTGATTTATTCAATACATAAATTATAAATAGATCAGTTGCATTTCCTGCACATGCCTTTATGTCTGATAGAGGAGCCGGAGCATTTATCGTTATTGAGGTAAAACTGCCCCATTTATTAGATTTATTTGAGGTCATATCGCCCAGCCCTACTGTACAGTATGAAAACATTTACTGTAACTCAATAAGTTTATGTACCTTTTGTAAAATCTGATGTCCTGATCTGATATTGAAAATCTTTCCAGCTCAAATGACTGCCTTATTGATGCTTCCCCCATCCTCTTCCTCAGCTCCTCTATCACCTGCTGCTCAGCATCTATGATTTCTATGCTTTATCCAAAGATGCTGGTTCTGTTCTGACATCAGAATCATGGCACTTCAACAACCATTTCCTCCTGTACAACTGCATCCAAATTTTTTCCTCTCTCTGAAATGTTGTTTTCGCCACTGACATAGAGTAATTATTCAAGACAAAAAGTACAGGTTCAGGCCCCTCTTTGAAGCACCGTCACCCACCCTGGAGGACATCTGTGGGAAGAAACTGTCACCGCAGACAGAAGTGGACCTCTGGATGAGGAGATTTTTCACATTTTACATTCCGTATCCATGTTTTTGTTAATGCCTTATCCTTGGAAAAGGGGTGGAAACTCACTGCAGAGTTGAATTCCTCTGATATTGGTTATTGTGGCACAAAGCAGAAATCACTGCTGTCACTATTGATGGTTCCAGCAACACTGATGCGTCTTTGCATGCGTCAATCCCATAGTTCAAAACATTGTATTGGTGCGTGTGTAGTTTCAAGAAAGTCATGTGACCGATACAGGAGTAGTTTCTAACTGACTGACTCACTAAACTGTGTTTAAAAAACATATCTGTCAACATGATGCATCTGCTAAGAAAATGTCTCATCTTTTGGGGTTTATCATTAAAATTATCAAGGATTTTGGAGCAGCTCACAAAATGAATAGTAACGTTTCAGCTGTCGCGTTGTATTTTAATCTTCTCATTGTTTCATACTTTTCCTCTGTTACCACTCAACTTATCTGAAGTAAAGTTCATTTTAAATTGACCCTTAGCTTATTTACTATTTTTACTATACTTATTATTTTAAAAATACGATTTAAAATACTACTCCACAAGCATCCTCATTTACATTTCCCCCTAAATGTTCACTTTATGTTTACATTATTTGTTAACTGCATCTAAAAATATCAAAGATATTCACAATTTAAACATAGATATGAAATAATATAATGTAACCTACAATAACTTAAATTACATAATTGTACTAGGTGTTTAAATCAGTTCAGTTTAGTCTGTCCAATAAGCTGCGTGCAGTGTCTTTATAGGTCCAGCAGGTGTCAGTATTCTTTGAGACCGTATCAACGCAGTATCAATAGTTTGACAATGTGTCGAAACGCTTAAAGATGCCTCATTAACTCATCACTAAAGTTCACGCCTCAGATATTTAGCTGCTTTTGAAAAACTAATAATAAAATGTTAGCTGTTTTCCATCCAAAGTAACAGAGAAAGCTGACTGCGATTAGCGACTAGCGCAGGCTTAATTTTTTTTCAAATGGTCACATAACCTTCCGCATAACCCCTATATTGGCTGTGTTCAGGGAGCTGCCCCAACCCCTAACTCCTCAATCACTAAGGCACTGTTTGAACTCATGGGCTTCATCTTTCAAGGACACGGTCTACCTGGACTAGATCCGTTGTTTTGGCTGTGAATTTAAACAGGTCTACCCTTCGTCGGCTTTCTCTGCCATACCCTCTGTCGTTTAGCAACCGTGACAGTTGACACAGAAACAGGAAAAGAATGAATATCGAATTTTTCAAAGCTGTTTTTTTCTTCTTTTTTTATTGTGTAATGAGAAAAAGACTACACTTATGTGAATCCAGAGTGGAATAAAGGTTCCAACCACCGGGAGCGTGAACAAATAAAATCAAATGTAATGATAGAAACCTTAGTCAGTTAAATAACCTGCTGCTGTCATTTTCCATATCTCTGATGTTGCTGCTATTTTCAAATATCCCTTACTGTAAAATGTCCATAGCTGCATATTGGTTATTTATTCTCCAGTTTTATATTGTTAAAACACTTTACAATATTTTATTGTTCATATTTTAACTCGTCCCTATTATGTTACTCTTAAACATTTTTTTATGGTCCACATTTGTGTGACCATTTTCAATAATCTTTCTGCTGCTGTAAATTTGCCCATTGTGGGAAAGAGATAAAGACATTTTCTATTCTACAAAAGGGGTAGAAGGATATAAGTAAATCTAAACAATGTATGTATAAAAAATATAACTGCAAAATATCTAACATTCAACAATGAAAAAATACTTAGCTAAGCAAATTGTGCTAACCAGCAAAAAAAATAAATAATTAAATCCTATCAGGTTTATAGTCCCCACACTGCAGATATATTAGATTCTGTTGTTATATGACAGTCGAACCCATTTACACAGTAACAGATAAAGACCTTTAGATAAATCAAACATTACCCAAGCTGCTCCCAACTTTTTCTGACTGGTTGATGAAAGTGCAATTATCCAACTGATGGTTCCAAACGTTTATTACAGGATTTCCGTCATACAAACGCCCAAGATCACCGTGAACACTGCAAAATACACGGTGGAAAATATTCATCAGTGAAATCATCATATTCCCTTATATGAATTATCAACTGAAACTTATTGAACAAAATATAAATTCTCTCAATTGTCCATACAGTATGCCCCTCCAACCAGAAGGTTAGGAGTTGCTAGAAGTCCTTACACGTCCATTTCTTCTATATTTCAGTCCTTTGCCTTTACTCTTGCACACGCCGACCGAGTATAAAACAAAACTCAGAATTTTCCATCCAAGGCATCACGTGATCAAGTGATAACCTAATCGGTGACGTCTCCATCTGACATTATTACAATATTTCCCCAAAGTATGTACATATTAATCAAAAAATACACAAATATGAACTGGATATTAAAAGTAAAACTTTTTCATATTCCCAAAAACAAGAAATAAATTCACACAGAAAAATGCTTATGTAACTGCGTTCGCTACATTACCGCCACATATCTGACTCAATAACCATTAAAACAACTATTTTCATTCATTTCAGATGGAACTATTCACTGACTTGCATTATATTAAACTGAACTTCCAATATTCACCACTGTTCGGCGCCAATTAACATTTCCTGTGATCACGGAGCAGCCGGCTTGCTTGGTCTCGCAATGAATCCTGAGATATGCAAGGATAGCGAGGATACATCGGACCTGTCCTTCAAATCGGGCAAAAAGAAGGACGCATTTGTAGGCCCCATAACGAGGAGTCTACAATCCGCCCAGAAATCGACGCCATGCTATGATGTAATCCTCCTTCGAATCTGGCTTTCAGAGGACGCAGCCCATGAATTCGAACAGAGCATATATAGAGTGGGGACTGTATAGTGGACCTTATAGTGAACTCAGTTAACTCACCGTTCATCATCACTACTTCTCGCTTCCTGTTGGAGTTTATTAAATCATCAAACGATTATATTCACTTCCTAATAATAAATAAAATCAATATATTTTACTAAGTTCCTTATAATTAATTATATATTGATTTAATACATTTGTTATACACATGAAAAACTTATTTCTTAAGGTATTTATCTATTTAAATTGTGACATTTATCATCTTGTTGAGGCTGCACTCAGTTTTTCTTCGTTGATTTCCTGTAGTATGTGAAACATTCCTGCCATGAATCAACATACCAGTTAAGGTCTGGAGACATTTTTAATTATAATCTGTTACTTTAAACAGGATTTAAAACTGAAATAAAATTAGGTGTTTATGGATCCATGTTATACATTGAACTCTTAAATAAAAAAATAGAAAATAAAATAGAAAGTTTTTCCATTTTAATATCTAAAGTGCTTTTTGAAGAAGAGGGCAACAATCATTTCAATTTGGTATATAGACAATTTCCTGCTTCCCATATTTTATAAAACACCTGAACTGAACTTTTTTTCTGTCTTAATGAGAGCAGTGGGCTTTAAGCTGCCCTGCAAGGCTTTAAACCTGGGTTTGAATGGAGACAAAGCCATTCTTTAGCAAATATCAAGGTGCTCATTTTGAGCACCTTGATATCTGCATGAGAATATGTGCATGTGATTATTTAAACCCTGAATCTGTTCTGGGGTTTAACAGGAGCTGTGTTTCTAGCAAGAAAAGAACCCCACTGAATTCATCACCTTATGCATAGCTGCAACTCCAAATTCATTTATTATTTATTTATTTATGTATCCATATCTATTTCTGATTCTGTTCATTGT